CACACACACACACACACACACACACACACACACCCAGGAGGATGGCCGTGCCACAATCCCTTCTCCTTCATTCTCCTCTTGGGATCTTGAGAATGCACACACATGCACCCAGCATGAGTTTAAGCCACAAGGTCCGGGACTTGAACTGCAGTTGACTACACAGGAGTCCAACAACATAGCCATTACACTATCTGCTGGTCCTGAGAAAGAAGTCTTATAACTATAAAAAGTATTCAGTTCAGAGAAGTCACTGTCTGACAGTGACTCAAGCATGTTTTCCATAGCTCTATAGAATTAAAGAAGATTCTAGAACCATTTCAGTTAGGATGCTGTGTGTTCTTTTATTGCCATCTATAATTCTTGCTTTAGACCCAATAACTTAGGAATCTGGAGTCACTCGCGCTTGATAATTAGAGACAATGGGTTTGACTTTTAGAAGACATGGCTCCTTGATAATTATTATATGATAATAGTGGGAAGCAGGGCAAAAGGTCATCCCAATTAATAACCACTCCTTCCTGGGAAGGCTGCAATGCAAATGAGTATTTCAGCACCTTGACTCGCCTCAGATTCGAGGAGTCAAATATGGCAAATTATAACAAATCGGGATGCAATAAATACAGTGCAGGCTCTGCTGAAATCCTCTACTGTCATTTTATTGGCTGAACTGGATATTTTAGCAGATCAAATGAAAGTATTGGTATTAGGGAGAACGGAGTCTTCTCACCTAACAAGAGCCAGGTGGTTCACGAAATGTGTGGTCTTGTTTTCCCTTAGTTTTTTTAGATGGAACATCTATATTCTCTTTTGACAAGCTATGAAAAAGAATATGTCATTTAATGTGTAATCCACAGCAGGGGCCCCGTCTGAGTTGAAGTGCAATTCAGAAGTGCTGGGGGAATAGATGAGGTCAGCACACATATGGACTAAGGCGCACTTGGAGGATAGGTCAACCTGAGGGAAAGACAGAAGCCAGATGAACTAAGCAAACAAGAAAGTCAGTTACTAGGGACATGGGGCGGTTCAGAGCACAGATGGGCTTTTGTCTCTCAGGTTTATCTTGCAGCCTAGCCACTGCTGGATCATATCTAGTTACTGTGTAGAAGAGAGAAGGGAAGAAAGAAAAAGCTTAAGAATGGGAGCAGTGTGGAACAGGGTGTGCAACACAGGAGACGGGCCATGGTCCCAATTTGTCACAGCACAACTTTGGCACAGGGAGCTCAGTACCCGGTGGAGTGGGTGTGGAGACCATGCTGCTGGATGCAGACCTCCAACGTCCAGCTGGTCAAGGTGGCATCCAGCCTGGGCAGGCCTGCTTGGGAGCATGTATTAGACATGCCAAGGAATATACGCTGGTCTGGGGGCGGGGGCTATCTTGCAGCAAGCTGGAAATCATGTGTGCACAGCAGGGTCCAAGAGTCAATAAAATTTTGATTATGATCATTCCTAATTAGGTTTGTTTTGGCCAGGAAAGAATCTAGGCACTTTTAATTAG